TGTGCTCATGAGTCTCTAAGCCCTCAGATCTGGCTTGCTTTTCCCAATAATAATGAACAGTGGCCCTCATTATTAGGAGGAATAAAAGGAGAGTAATTTACAATAAAATTAAATAGATATTTAAATTTTTTAATGAGTAAAGTTTCGGGTGGGAAGTCTGAAACCAGGGGAAGGGTAGCACCTGGTTGGCCCTGGGGGAGATTCTTGAACATCTCATGTCCCCAAGGTCGCTCCTGTAGTTGCCCCCACACAGGTAGCTGACTGCTCAGTTGGCAATTTAACCTAAGATTTTTCAAATATCCGATTTTGAGAGAGGAGGAATGGAATCAGTGCCTGTGCCTGAATACTTACTATGTTCGAGGCACTGTGTGTGCTGTAAGGGCTAAAGAGACATGTGAGAAACAAACATGCTCTGCCTTCAAACTCGCTTGTAATAGGCCCGTGGAGATAAACCTGAAAAGTAATGGAGGGCACAAGCAGAGCATTCCATGTGACAAATATAGGCCAAGTGTGTGCTTCCACGCCTCGTGGAGAAACTGGAACGCGATCTGGTCTTAAAAGTTGGGAAAGTTGGTCCCATAGAGAGAAGTATATTCCAGTCGAGGGAACAGCATAGACAGAAAAACACAAGCATGTTCCAGGACAGTGAGTGAACCATCCGGTTGAGAAAGTGTGATGGTGGGGGTCTCACAGGGAAACCATGAGAGGTGAGCTGGGAGAGAGACGCTGGGCCAGACCAGTGGGGCGGTAGAGGCATGCTACCCTGCAGGAGGCATTTAAAAAAATACATGTCTTCATTGATTTCAGAGAGAGGAAAGGAGAGGGAGAGAGAGAGAGAAACATCAATGATGAGAGAGTCATTGATCGGCTGCCTCCTGCATGCCCCCCACTGGGGATCGAGCCCAAAACCCATGCATGTGCCCTGATAGGAATTGAACAGTGATCTCCTGGATCATAGGTTGATGCTCAATAGCTGAGGCACACTGGCCAGGCTGCAAGAGGCATTTTTAATCGCCACAGTGATTGAGGGACACCCTGACATTCAGCATATGGCTGGGCCTCTCTCTTTATGTGGCTTTCTCCCAGCTGGGTGGTCCAAGAGGGTTCCAAGAGGGTGAGAACAGTTGCTGCACCTTGAGGCCTACGCTCAGAACCTGCTCGAAGTTACTTCCTCCCATTCTATTGGTGTAAGTAGGCCCAGGGGAGCCCAGATTTAAAGGGGTGGAGAAACAGACTGCACTTTTTGTTGAGAGAACTGTTAGGGTCACATTGCGAAGGAGCATGGACACAGGGAGGCATGATTCATTGGGGCATTGTCATTAATCAAACTACCACACTTCTCTTAAGCCACACGTCCATTATAATTGCAAGCATCTGTTTATTTCCTTACATAGGTTCCTGAACACTTACACATTAAAATTTTTAAAAATTTATTTAATTTTATTACAAATTACTCTCCTTTTATTCCTCCTTTTACTACACTTAGAAACATATATATACATATATGTGTGGGTATATACATATGTGTATTTATGTACACATGTATGTATATACATGAATATATAGGTATAGGAATATACATAAGAATATAATATATATCCCTATATATTTATATATAAAATGGTGCGTGCCCTGGATTTTGGGCATCTAAAGAGGACACCAAAAGGGGAAGTGACTAAAGCAGCTGACCCAAGAAGGGCCTGATATGGGTGGGATGTGAGCCCCAATATGCGGAAGGGTGCATATAGGGATAGGAAAGGGAAGAATCAGTGTGAGACACTCCCGGGAGGAGGTGGCCCGAGCAGGGAGCGAGGCCTGCTGAGGCAGAGGGCACCCCACCACCCTCCGTGCTTTTCCTCTGTGCTAACACAGCAGTGCATCCTGGAACACAGTGAAGAAACATATCTGAGCTGCTCCTTTTCCAAGGGAGCCTCCTGTTGGCCATTCCTTAAAGCCACCTGTCCCCAGGAGCATCCTGCTGTTGCTGGGCTCCACGGGGCAGGAGGGCTAGGGCCCTTCAGAGAGCAGGAGGGGGGTGCGGACTGCCTGGGGACTGCAGGGAGAGGCCACCGCTGGCCCTCAGGATGGCCCTGACCCTTTCTCTCCTCTGCTTGGTCTCCAAGTACAACCCCCTTAACCTCACAGCGCTGGACTGGTCCCTGCTGAGCAAGAAGGAGTGTCTGAACTACGGGGGGCGCCTGCTCGGGAATTCCTGCCAGTTCATCCCAGACCTGGCGCTCATGTCCTTCATTCTTTTCTTCGGGACCTACTCCATGACGCTGACCCTGAAAAAGTTCAAATTCAGTCGCTATTTCCCTACTAAGGTAAGCTCACCCTGCAGCTAGGAGGGGACCTATAGTCAGACTGCACAAGATCTGCCTGAGCGGACTGTGAGCCACTCACGGGATGGACACGTCAGCTCTGCTCACTGAGGGTTTTCAGGTTAATAGCACAGACCTGGAGTCAGAGAGCGGGCCTCCTTGGCGATGAGTACCCTTGACAACACTTGGTGTTTTCAGACTTTTATCTTTAGCCTCTTTGTGTTTTTTAAATTTCCCCGATGTGTTGCAAATATCTTCTCCCTTCTCCTTTTTAACTTTCTTAATGGTACCTTTTCATTAATAGAAATTCTTAGTTTTACTGTAATCAAATATATCAAAATTTTCCTCAAGGAAAATATTGGACAGAAGATATTCTCTTATGTTATGGTCTAAAAGTTTCATTGTTTTTCTTTTATGTTAGATCTACAAACTATCAGAATTGCTTTTAACATACAGTATGAAATAATATTTCTTTGTTTTTGTATAGATAGCCAGTTGTTCCAGCACTTTTTAAATTTTTTTAATTTATTTTTTTATATATCTTTATTGACTTCAGAGAGAGGAAAGGAGAGGGAGAGAGAGAGACAGAAACATCAATGATGAGAGAGTCATTGATCGGCTGCCTCGAGCATGTGCCCTGACCAGGAATCGAACCCCGATTGCCTGGATCCTAGGTCAACATTCAACTGCTGAGCCACGCCCGGCCCGGCTCCAGCACTTTTTAAAAAAAAGATTCATTCTTTCCCCCACTGCTCTCCACTGCTTCTTTTGCCATATATCAAGTTTCACACATGATGGGGTCTATTCCTAGGTTCTTTGTTCTGTTTTATTGGTTTATTTGTATTCCAATATCACAATCTTCATTTCTGTGGCTTATAAGTCTGTATATGTTACAGACCAACCTCCCCCTCTTTGTCTTTTTTTTCAATAATGCCTTCCCCTTTTGCATTTCCACATACATTTTAGAATCATCTTATGTTTCACCAAATTAAAAACTTGTTGAAATTTTTATAAGATTATATTGACTCTACATGTCAATTTGGGGAAAAGTGACACCCTTCACATTTTGAGCCTTCTGACCCATGACTGTGGTATCCCTCACCGTTTATTAAGGTCTTGTTTCTTTCCATAATGTTTTATAGGTTTTGGTCTTGAGGTCTTGCACATTTTTATTAGATTATACCTAGATACTTGAGTTTTTAAATGCTATTGTTAATGCTAACTATTAGTTTTAAGTTTATTTTCTGGTCTATGACCAGCATAAAACACTAATTAATCAAAACAGCACTTACATATGTGAGCAGTAGCTGTGCCATGGGGAGGGGCACTCAGAAGAATTTTAGCAACTCTCTTCCACCATAAACCTCATGAGTGCTCTCCTAAAGCCATCTTAAATAAATATTACTGCTACTACTACTATTAATAATAAAAAAATATTTGATGTGAATAATTGAACTTTTCCCAATATTTTGTAAATAAATAAAAGGTTCTTTAGGGAGCTTTGCAGTACACAAACTGAATCAAAATTAGTGTGCTTGCAACACAAATGCATCTTCAAGACAAATTATTTCCCTTCTTTCTCACTTCCAATCAGATCATATCCTTAAGTCACCTCTTACATAAAAATTCTAGAGTAGTGACTACACCTGAGAATGTCTATATTTTTCCTGAAGGATGAAATATAATTCATGTGACATGAAATTCTTTAACCACCATCTTCCCCCCCACCCCTCAAATTACTTACAAATTGCTCTGTTGCCTCCTGGAATTCAGTGTTGCAAAGAAGAATGAGACCAAACCATTTTACACCCATCAGATTGGTAAAAATATAAAAGGCTTGGGATCCCAAGTGTTGAAGATGAAAAGCAATGGGTGGGAGTATAAACAGGTACATCTAATTTAGAGAACAATTGGCATTCTCTGCTAGAGCTGAAGATGGACCTGACCTCCAACCCAGCACTTCACCAGGTCTACACCCCAGAGAAACTCACATGTGTACAAGAGTGTTCACAGAGACATTGATTCTAAAAGGATAACAGTGAAAATAATCTAACTGTATCTATCAACAGCAGAATGAAGCAATAAATGAAAATCAATCATACAAACATTAAGCTGCAAAGTACACACATAGACTACAGCTGCACCTGTCCGCAAGAAGTGTCGCAGACATAATGCTGAGCAAATAATGTAAATTGCAGATTACAAATAATATGATACCATTTATGTAAAACTGTAAAATATGCAAAACAATGTCATGTTTATTTTAGGGTTATATACATATTTAGTAAAAGTATAAAGACATGCAAGGGAATAATAAACTCTGGATTCAGACCAGTGAATGTCCCTAGAGAGCAGGGACGGGGATGTCACTGGGTGATAGAAGAGACACTGACTGAATAGCTGCATTGTTACTTCTTAAGGCGGGAGGGAGTTCACAGCGGTTCCTTATATCCATCTTGATGTTATGTTGGACCATGTGAAATTGCCTACAGGACGTCCTCACTTAACATCATTGATAGGTTCTTGGAAACGCGACGTTAAGCAAAATGACATATAAGAAAACCAATTTTACCATAGCCTCATTGTTATAAATAAGAGTTAATGTATATTTCTGGTCACAAAAACATTAGCAAACTTCTAAATAAAGACCCAAAGCATTTATAATATTGAACATTGAAATAAATGTGCACTATATATTCATTTAAAAAAGATTAATTAAAACAAGTAAGAAATTCTTTTCCAACCAGCTTATTCCAATTCGGGGTCGCAGGTGGCTGGAGCTGGTCCCAGAAGCTCAGGGTGCCAGGCGGGCTCACCCTGGGCGGGACGCCCTTCCCTCTCATATGTGCATCACATGTACCTGCACACAAACAGGGACAATGCAGGTGCACCAGTTCACTTCATGCGCATCTTGGGGATGTGGGAGGAACCCGGAGTCCCTGGAGAAAACCCATGCAGACATGGGGAGACGGTGCCAACTCCACACGGATAGTGGCCCTGGCCACGAGTAGATTTTTTTCTCTCATCATCATTATAACAAAACAACATTGAATGAAATGACATTATTTGAGCACCTGCTGTGTATTTGACTGTTTTGACCTACAAAAGATGGCAAATTCGTATGATCTAACTTAATAACTTTTTGATCTGAATGCTAGGAATATTTTAGGAAAGCAGGTGTGAGCCTAGCTGCTTCGTTCTGTGTGATCCATGTTTTAATGATCGTAATAATATAAAGCTGTTATTGATTTTCAACTTTTAGAATCACCTTATAGATAAAACACAAAAGACATATGTTTACAGAAGAGAGTATGCAAGTTCTTGGCTTTGACAATGTAAAGATGGAAGGGGCTGGAGAGGAGAAAGGTGGTGGGAAGGACGGGGCACAAGCCTGGCCTCCCATGATGCAGAATGAGCGATGCTGGCAAGGGTTAGTGGAAAGAGAGGTGTGATTACCTAACTTGAAAGTGCAAAGGAAACCCACAGAAGGAGTTTAAAAACAACTCTCAAAGGCTGGGGATGAGGAAAGAGCAGGGGGGATAGTGCAAGTAAGCTAACTCCTTAGCAATAAACAATGCCTCAAATTAATAAATCAAAATATAAAAGAGTAGCTTACTCATTCATGACATGAAGGAAACCACCAGAACAACTAAAATCAAGCAGACATATGGGTGTATCAGGAAGGGGGGCTGGAGTGAGGAAGGGTGAGGTGGGAGGCTTTGCTTTTTATACTATGTGGGGTTTTTTTTAAAAAAATATTTTTATCTGTTTTTATTGATTTCAGAGAGAGGAGGAGGAGAGAGAGAAACATCAATGATGAGAGAGTCATTGATCAGCTGCCTCCTGCACGCCCCCTCCTGGGGGTCGAGCAGGAAACAGGGGCATGTACCTTGACTGTGACCTCCTGGTTCATAGGTTGATGCTCAACCACTGAACCATACGGGCTAGGCTATGTGGGTTTTTAATTAACCACATATGTTATTTTAATACCAGTTTTAAAGGGGAATAGGAGGTACAGGGAACGAATTAATTGTGCAATACATAACCTGCACCTGCCCTTCCTAACTGCTTTCCCTGTTGTTCTCTGGAAACTGCTGTCTGTGAAGAAATACAGAAAAGGTGACAGGGCAGCCAGTGGTGTGGAAGGGTGACCAGAGGGCTGGGATGGGCCTCTTGACACAGAGGAGCAAGAGGCCAAGGACTCTTAGTGGACAGCAGGTCTGAGAGTAGCGAGGGGTCCCCAGCAGAGTTGGGGGCCTTCCCTCCTCAGCCCAGGTGGCAGTGCAACAATCCGTCACACATTTTTAGGAGCTAAGAGTTTTTTTAGAATTCAGCCCTTGTCCTTACCATCCCTGCTGGGTGAGCCAGCTCAGTCTGTCATACCAAAAACCGTCAGTGATGGCTGCATGCCACATGGATAACAATTCCTGCTTTGACTAATATACGCCAAGCTCTTGGAATGTGTCATAGCTCAGTTATGCCTATGAGGTAGGTGCTATCCTATCTCTATTTAACAGATGAGGAAACTGAGGCTCCAAGAGATGACATGCTTTCCCAAGATCACACAGCCAGCAAGGGCTGACCCGGGATTTGAGACTCGGTCGAGCCCAAGCTCTTAACTGTTCTCCTCTTTGCTGCCTGGGGACTGGGTCCACCTGTGGACGGGCGGCTACTTTGCTCACTCGCTCATCTTTCTGTAGGTCCGGGCACTAGTCGCTGACTTTTCCATTGTCTTCTCCATCCTGTTGTTCTGTGGAATCGATGCCTGTTTCGGGCTGGAAACCCCCAAGCTGCACGTGCCCAGTGTCATCAAGGTTTGCTCTGGGCACTAGCTCTGCTGCCCACTGGCTGCAGATCCTTTCCTCTCCACAGTGATCGAACTGTCACCTACTCTCAGCCACCCAGCCGTGTGGGTTCTCTGTGCATGCTCCACCCTGCCCATGTAGAGCAGCCTCCCAGGGAGGTCCTCTGAGGTGGTGGGTTGGGGCCATAGTGACAATGAAAGCCCACTGTGTCGCCACAGGGTGGGGAGGTGCTGGAATCTAGCTGAAGCCCCTTGATTTTCACTTGAGGGTCTACAATTCCCTGACTCCTGGCAGTCTGCAAGCTGGGCCACCTGGGTTCTGTTGAAAATGATCTCTAGGAATAGTAATTCTCAAAGTGTGATCCCAGGTCAGCATTAAGAGACCCACCACTTCACAGATTCCCCCAGAGTTCAGAGTTTGTGCCATTGGCTTGTAGCTAAACTTGAATCCTGCTGCCTCACAAGGAGCACCCCACATCCACACTGGGCCAGGAGGTACAGGTTCTAGAACTGGCCCTTCCTGCCCTTGAGGGCTTGACTTTCACAATATTACTTTCAGGTTCTCCTAAGGAGCTTAAACACATCTCATTAACCTTTAAAAGACGGCATTAAATTCCATCAGCATTTAAATTCGGCCTGCGGGACCCACTCCTTGCAGGGAACTAAAGTTCCCTTTCATCGAATAAAGGTTAAACTGGTATTGGCCTTGACAATTAAAGCACCTCTTTCTCTTAAGTAAAAAAAGATAAACTTCAGCCCAGCTCCTGCACAGATAATCCCCTATTCTCAATATGCAAATCTGCATTGACGTTGGGTGTCTTACAGATAATTCTATAATGCTCCCCAGACAGGTGACTCCAGAAGAGGCAGGAGCAACAGGCACTGAACCCATCAAATTATTTATTCTTGCCTGTTGGGCCTCATTTCTGCTCCTTTTTAGTTTGCAATTACTTGGTGACCACAAGGTCTCTCTCTACGCCCTCTGACTATGCACCTCCCTGTTTCCTAACCAATCCCAGGCAGGCAGCTGCCACAAATGATCCCCTTAGTTCTGCAGACACGAGGTCCTTCCTAAGTCTGCGTCAGAGTCTCTTTGTTCTAAAGTTGCAGGTGCCAACATCTGCAAGGGAAACAATTGCACTTGAAAAATGCCCCAGGTGGAGGATTGGCAGGAAGGCGAGGAGAGGGAGGCCCTGGGTGGCAAGTGGGCTGGGACGAGGGAAAGTGGAGAGGGCTCTCACTGTTTGCTCCACTCAGCCCACGCGGCCAGACCGAGGCTGGTTTGTGGCCCCCTTTGGAAAGAACCCGTGGTGGGTGTACCCGGCGAGCATCCTGCCTGCGCTGCTGGTGACCATCCTGATATTCATGGACCAACAGATCACAGCCGTCATCGTCAACCGGAAGGAAAACAAGCTGAGGGTAAGGCTGGTGCTAGAGGGGCACAACCTCTCTCGTCCCACAAAGTCAGAAGGAACGAAAGGGGCAGATGGTGCATGTAGCAAAATTCTGGGCCATTTGTGAAGCAAAATATGAGGCTAGAAGACTGAGTTCTGGTGTGGAGAAATGTGATCTCAGATGCAATAAGGCCACCAGGGCCAAGGTGACTTGATCCGAAGACCAGGACCAAGTCCAGGGTGGGCCACTGGGCCCCTTGCTTCTCCCAAAGACACCCTCCAGCTCTGTGCCTCCCAACAGTGATCTTGGGAGTCTGAGCAGATCCTAAAAGGGGGATTTTGACCCAGCACCATGAGGCAGAGGAGCATCCTTAGCTCCCCTGGTCCCTGCAACTCTCCACCCTCCCTCTGGGTTTGAGGAAATTCAGGCTACCCTCTTCCCATCCCAGTCTGGACAACTCTGGGTTTGGTCTAAGACCTGTCCCTGCCAGGGCCCCCATTCAGGAACTGTAGAGATATGGTGGCCCCTGGTAGGGCTCGTTGGTTCCCAAGGACCCAGGCCCAGGGCCTCTCCAAGTCTGAACACCCATCACCTGTGTCCCTTCCCTGACTCACCAAACCCTGGCGTTGGTGAGGCCTGAACACTTCAAGATGACAGCCCCCTTAGAGTTCCTTCTAGAAAGTCAAAGGGAGCCCTTGAACCATGTCCCACCAAATGACTGCTTTGGGGAGATTTCTGTCTAACCCACCCCACCCCAACAGATGGTCAGCAACAGGCTCCTAGACAGCTTCTCCTCTCCTGCCGCCCCCTGCAGAAGGCTGCTGGCTACCATCTGGACCTGTTCTGGGTGGGCATCCTAATGGCCCTGTGCTCCTTCATGGGGCTCCCCTGGTATGTAGCTGCCACGGTCATCTCCATTGCCCACATCGACAGCCTCAAGATGGAAACAGAGACCAGTGCCCCAGGGGAGCAGCCCCAGTTCCTGGGGGTCAGGTAGGTGGGGCTCCAGGCCTGGGGACCACCTGAGCAAGAGTGGTCAGGATGGGGGAGGGGAAGCAGGTTTTTCTTACCATGAAGGTATTTGGGCAAAAGGGATCCCTGCTCTGACAGCCCAGGAGCCACATGGAGAGGATTGATATTCCTGAAGGGAGAGAGGAGGGAGACGAAAATTCCATTCTAAGTGGTGTTTTTTGTCTTAATAGATTCCGAGCAGTACACCACCATGGGCCATATACACACTCTCGACTTTCACCTATATAGGCCCCTCAAGAGCGACACAGGCCAGTTCTGACCTGTCCCTTTGTCTCCTCTTCAAGACACCCTGCCCCACTGTCCCCCAAGGCCCTCCTGTGGGTTTGGGTCCTGCTTAATCTCCAGTCCTCCAGAAAGCCTTCCAGGATCATTCCCACTCCTGGTCTGTGGCCCATGTTCTTCTCGTGCCCCATGTCGGGTCCCTGATCTGTTTCAGACAGAGCAGCACATCTTCCACCTCTGAGGTTGCCCAGGGCGAGCCCATACCACACCCTGGCATCCCCAGAAGTGGCTATCCTAAGAGATTCCCCCCACTGCCCAGCCTGCCCCAAGCAAGACTTCTCTGGTCAGAGCAGGGTTCCCCCCAGGCCTCTGAGCCCCAGACAGCTGGGCCTGAGCAATCAGCCCCAGAGCCTCCAGCTCCCACCTGTGCTGTGTCTGGACCTGGGCACACGGGAACACCCACCTGTCTCCCACCCCTCGTTCCTGCTCTACTGCAGCCAGCCCCCCTCCCGCTGAAGCCTCGCTAGTCATGTGGGTTCTTATTCTAGTCAAAGGGCAGGGATAATCACATTATATCCCAGGTGCCATTATCTCTCTTCTACTGATGCCACACAACTACTAAGTAAGTGGCAGAGCCCACCTAAATTGGTCTAGCTCAAGCACCTCACTATTAGTCACTGGACAACCTCCCAAACACCCCTATAAAATGCCCTCACCTCCCTCTCTTCTCATGTGCTGGTCAGCTGGGCCTTGCACAGTGGGCTTACTCTCTGGGATGGGGGAACAAGGCAGAGGCAGTGCCTTGGACATTACTTGGCAATGCCCACAGAGGGCTGGGGGCTGGAATGGTCACACAGCATCTCCCAATCTACCTGACTATGTGCTCTTCTTTGCCAGGGAGCAGAGAGTGACCGGCACCATCGTCTTCATCCTGACCGGGATCTCTGTCTTCCTGGCTCCCATCCTGAAGGTGAGGCCCTGCACCCTCCCCCAGGGCCTGTCTGCCTGAGAAACCACTGGCCTGATGCCCTGGAGGTGGTGTCCTTATGTTTGTGGGACTCAGATCATTGTTTATTGCTGTTAAAGGTGGTATAAAGCTGACACTTAGAGGCACCTTTCTGCCACTTTACTGTGTCATTAGTATTGGAAAAGGGTCTTTCCCTGGGGATCCAAGGAAGACTTGTGCCAATTAATCTAGAATTCTAGACCATAGCCTCATTACTCATGGGAATGTGATATCATGGGGCTTTGGGATTTGCTGGGAAAGCTACTTGAGCCTGCAAACAGGACTGGAGATAATGTCCTAGGCTTGATAATCAGTCACTGATAACTACAAATTATCTAAGACTTAACCCAGTTCTGTTTGATGCGGTTTTCGCACTCATTAGGGCAAATGTTATATATGGGGAAAGCTGGGGCAGGCCAGGCTGCCTCTGTGACTTGGTAGATTTTATACATATATATATATGTATTTTAGAGAAAGAGGAAGGCAGAGAGAGAGAGAAAGAGAAAGGCTGATGTGAGAGAGAAACATCAATCGGTTGCCTCCTGTCTGCACCCCAGCAGGGGATCGAACCCAAAACCTGGGCATGTACCCTGACCAGGCCTGGAACCAGTGACCATTTGATGCATGGAAAGACGCTCAACCAACTGGGCCAACTGGCCAGAGCAGGACAAAGGGAAGTTTTAAGCCATCTCAAATTTGTGTTATTACAGATTATGGCTGCCTTTTTTTTTTTTTTACTTTTTAAATTTATCTTTATTGTTGAGAGTATTACAGGTATACCATTTCCCCCCCCAATTGATCCCCTCCACTTCCCTCCC